TGTTCCCTCTCTCGCTGTCTCTCTCTCTCTGTCAAAAAAAATAAATAAAAAATAAAAAAATAAAAAAAAACCTGGTTTATTATCTGTTTAATATTACTTCATATTAATCCAGGAGGTAAGAATTATTTTCTCAAAGAGATTAATTTTAGGATCATAAAATGTTTAACAAAGCAAACTAATCTAATACATTTCTATGCTTACTGATTGACTCAGATTGCTACCACAGCCTAGAATGTCTCTTCTTTCGCTTTTTATCCCAAGAGTTCTCTTACTCAAGGCACCATTCAAATCCCTGTTCCTCTAAGAAGCTTGCCTTTTCTATTCAGACTAAGGCACTATGATATAGAAATACTAGCATTCTCTTTATCAGTTGATATATTAAATAACAAGAGATCAGTGATCTCTTTCTGAGACATTCTCTTGTATATTCTGCTCCACCAGTGTTTTTTGTTTGTTTGTTTGTTTTCTCAACCTGTAACTGTTTTCTTTTCTTTCCCTCTGAGACATTTGATAGTGCTGAGTGACATTTTTGATTGACATGACTGGGGGAGGATGTGCTGATGTTATCTAGTGGGTAGAGGCCAAATTTACTAATAAACCCTGCATGGCAGAAAACAGCCCCCCCTCCCCCCAACATAAAGTCATGTGGTCAAAAATATCATTAGTGCCAAGGTCTGCATGCAGATCTGACAAATTATTTGCCCACTTTCTATACTCGTGGCCAAAACTATGTTGGTGCTTGTGTCTTGGGGCAACATGAAATGCTTTGCTGAAACCCTGAGAGATTGTATCTGTCGTTTATGAGTTATCCACATTCTCTGCCACATTATCATTGAAGGAAATTAAACTGGGTTGTCACAGTTTTGTCTTTGACAAAGCCACACTGATTGCTACCCAATACCCTGCATTACAAGTCATTGCTAATGCTGGCACATTTACAATTTCATGGTTTGTCCTGGGATTTCACACGATATTGGAGCTAATTTGACCAGTATGTAATAACCAGGATTGCCTTTTCCATCTGTTAAAAAAAAAAGAAAAGAAAATGGATGGAGATTTTAATATAGATACAGCTTTCAAGGTGTTTATATGTATATATATATGTGTATATATATATATATGAATATGTCTGTATTCACACACACACACAAATTTCATTTGCTCTTCCATTTTTCCTCTTTCTGTTTGCATAGAACACTCGCTGGATGTGTTTCCTTCTCACAGGTATTAATGCATCACCAGGCCAAAGTGAAACCAGACAATCCTTGGTGTTTCTCGGAAAATGTACGTTTCATACTGTTCCCTCCACATACAGATTATTCTCCTGTTTAAGTCCCATACATTCTTCAAGACCCAGGCTTTCTGAAAATCTTTAAAACAATAAATAAGGGGCACATGGGTGGCTCAGTTGGTTAAGCCTCCAACTTCACCTTGGCTCAGAACATGATCTCAGGGTTGGGGGATCGTGCCCTGCATAGGGCTCTGTGCTCAGGGCAAAGTCTGCGTTTCCCGCCCCCTCTGCTCCTCCCCTCCCCCCGCCCCCGCGTGCTCTCTCTCTCTGAATATCTCTCTCAAATAAATAAATAAATAAATAAAATATATAAAAAAGACCCAGACTTTCTGTTATTTTTTAATCCATCTTTCCTTCCCCAGTCTTAAGGCAAGCCCTTTTTATTCTGGGTCCCAGTACACTCTGTTCATATGCTCTTCTAATTTACCAGCTGACTTGTTATATAGATGATCTTTTAAGAGGTTGTGCTTTCTCTAGAAAATTATATTTATCTGTATCAAAATAACTTATCAATAAATCTATGTGGAATTATACTGTTTAGAAGTGAATCCACATCCCCATTATCTGAAAGTAAAGGGTCTTTATAAGAACTTCTCCTGCTTAACTGAAAGAATAAGCTTAAAAACTCAAGATATTATCATGATGAAAATTGATTTTCAATTTTCGACATTTATGAAATAAAAATACGTTCCTTTGTCTCTCTAGTGGTACCGTGGTTTAGAAGTGTATCTCTGATATTGACAACAAGAGCTGCTTAGCAAAAAACTAGTTTCTTCACACAGCATCCTAAAAGATATTCCTGATTTACAAGTTCTTTGAGAATAAGGTTTAATTGAGCTTGTTTTATCTCATGCCTCTTAGTTCTGTGCCTTTAGTAACTAGAACAATGCATTTTAGAATTAGACTTAGCAACTACTGAAATAAATTAGTAAGTTGAATTTTGCCATATTTATTATTTATAGCAATCAATGAATAATTTTGGTCTAGCATCTATTCTTAGTTCAGCTTTTTGAAAAAAATAGGTTACCTCCTTTACTTATCTTTAGATTGAGCCTAATTATTTTGACAAAGACATAATGCACATGCATATATTTAAAGACTTTGGGATAGTGTGTCCATATACCTTAGCTATTTTTACTAATAGCCCTGACACCTCAGAAAGAGAAAAATTCCTTTCCTTTGCTATATAAGATGCATGTTATAAATGGACTCTCCTGAGAAAAATGTTGTTTAAAATAACTTTGGACTGAAAACTTATCTTGGAGTTTATTTGCCTCTGATCACAATTACTTCCTAGGTATTGCAATTGAAATTAGTGATTCTTCCAGTCCCTCTTTAACCTCCGTTCTATTGTTAGGACTTACTGTTCCTTTCCCTTGCCTCACTCTGCACAGCTATTTTAAAATATTTTAAATTTATATATGCAATACAATATTTTTTTTTAGATTAAGGGCACCGGATTTGTCTAAAAACAACTTTTGCCAAGCTAGTCATCAAGGAAAATTTTATTAAATACCAAGACTTTTCTAGATTTTTGTCATCATCTCTAATCATGGCCTCCAACTACATCTTCGTTAATCATGATAAGCTTTCTTTTTTACATCTCTTGATTTTTTTTCTAAGCAATTATATTGTTTTGTTTTGATTCTCTGTTTTGGGATTCTTTACTCTTGTTTTACAACATATTGATTGAATTAGAATTAAATAACCAGGTTAGAAATTATTTATGGTCTTGAAAGTCAGTTCTTTTTAAATTGTAAGTTGGCCAGACATCATTTCAAATTCTCTATATTTCCATCTGCCCTTGGGGATAATAACTAATCTAGACTCTTTACTCGTTTTAACTTATTTATTCCTTAGACAAACCAATAATATTGAAATATTGAATACTAACCTCTTTTTCCATATAAGAAAACTGAGGCTCAGGGAGTTGAAGCAACCTGCTACTAGTCTCACAGCTAGTAAAAGAGCAGAGCTGGGATTGAAACTCTGAGTGTCTGCCCTGAGAGACAAGCTTTCAGTCACTGTGCTCCACTTCCTCTCAGTCAGGAGGAGTATGGCTGAGACCTTGACAAGTCTCCAACTTTGTGACTATTTCTATAGTCAGAGTTAAAGCGATTTTGTTACCAAGCAGAGAACAGCAAAGCTACTTAGGTTTGTGGAGACTGAGTGGTGAGCTAGGCTAACTTAGTAAGTATCTACCTGCTTCCAACCAGCTTTGTCTCTCTTGCTTCCATGACTCACATCCGTGGCACACAAAATATTAATAAACACAAGTCATGGATGGTTAAATATTTGCAACCCTGGATGATAATTAGAAATCCCCAATACCTAGAATGCTTCTTTAGCCTATGACTTTATAAAAAGAAAAAAGAAAAAGAAAAAATTGAGTTCGACTAAGCCTCTTCTCTCAAGTAAAAATTATAAACTGTGAAAGGTAAATTAGGAAAAAAATTATGTGTATGAGCAGTGAATAATAACTTACACAGTTCCTCATAATTTTATTTTTCCTAAGATTGCATATATACTCTCATTCCACTCAGTGAATTCTGAGGAATTCAGTTCTTGATTCTAAAACTTTAAAAATAATTGCAAGTTCTTATGTTACCCATTTATCATTCTTTCATTAACAAATATGTGCACCCATTTCATAATCAGAAGCCATATCCTGGGGCACCTGGGTGTCTCGGTTAAGTGGCTGCCTTCAGCTCAGGTCATGATCCCAGGGTCCTGGGATTGAGCCCCACATCGGGCTCCCTGCTCGGTGGGGGGTCTGCTTCTCTCTCTCCCTCTGTGTGCTCGCTCTCTGTCAGATAAATAAATCTTAAAAAAAAGAAGCCATATCCTAATGATCAAGGTTTATGCTCATTTCTGAATTTTAAAATATTTGGATGCAAATTCACAATGAATAAATCTTCTGAGTCGGTGAAATATGGTAGAGTGATTCTGAAATTGTGGCTTGTTCCTCCTCACAGAAAAATCTCAAGGAATATGGGGAATTGGAGTGCCAAAAGCAGCTGTTTGGCATGTTATTTATTCCCTCTCTCTCACTTTCAATTCTTTTCATTTATTTAATTAAGTCATAGGGTTGTTATGAAGATCAAATTGGACAACTCTGTAAAATATTTATTATGTATTGTTGTATGCATCTGTTAATTTAAATAAAGGGAGCTGAAAAATTATAACACAAGGCAGATAAAGACACCAAGGAAATGAATTTGGAAGTAATAAAAAAACAGTGAAAACAGAGGGTCTTAGACAAATATGATCTAATTAATTAGAAATAAGTCTCACATACCTTCTATTATTTTTCTGCTTTTAATATTTAGTAACTGGGAAAAGGGGAGAATTAAGGTCTTTGGATTATTAGTAAGAAAAGGAGAAAAAGGCATTTTGTAAAGAATATGCAGAAGACCTGAAAGTTGTGAATATGCTATTAAATGTTTGGCTAATTTTGTTTATATCAGTTGATTTTTGTTTATTTGTTTCAAGTTTTTTTTAAAAAATTCCAGTTAACATAGAGTGTAATATTAGTTTCAGGAGTAGAATTTAGTGATTCATCACTTACATAAAACACTGTGCTCATCACAACAAGCACCCTCCTTAATACCCATCACCCATTTAGCCCATCCCCCACCCATTTCCCCTCCAACAACCCTTAGTTTGTTCTCTATAGCTACAGTCTTTTTCCTGGTTTGCCTCTCTCTTTTTTTCCCTTATGTTCATCTATTTTGTTTCTTAAATTCCACATGTGAGTGAAATCATTTGTTATTTGTCTTTCTTTGACTTATTTCACTTAGTGTAATACACTCAAGCTCTATTCATGTCTTTGCAAATGGCAAGATTTCATTCTTTTTTGATGGCTGAGTAATATTTCATTGTATATATACACCACAGCTTGTTTTTCCATTCACCAGTCAGTGGACATTTGGCCTCTTCCCATAATTTGGCTATTGTTGATAGTGCTGCTATAAACATTGGGGTGCACGTGCCCCTTTGAATCAGTATTTTTGTATCTTTTGGATAAATACCTAATAATGCAATTGCTGGGTCATAGGGTAATTCTATTTTTCACTTTGGGGGAACCTCCATACTGTTTTCTAGAGTAGCTGCACCAGTTTGCATTCCCACCAACAATGGAAGAGGGTTCTCCTTTCTCCGTGTCCTCGCCAGAATCTGTTGTTTCCTGTCTTGTTAATTTTAGCCATTCTGACAGGTGTGAGGTGATAGCTATCTCATCATAGTTTTGATTTGTATTTCCCTGGTGATGAGTAATGCTGAGCAGCTTTTCATGTGCCTCTTAGCCATTTGGATGTCTTCTTTGAAAAAATGTCTATTCATGTCTTCTGCCCGTTTCTTAACTGGATTATTTGTCTTTAATTGAGTTTGTCTTTTTTAAAAAAAAAAAAATCTTATTTATTTATTTGAGACAGAGAGAATGAGAGAGAGAGAGCACATGAGAGTGGGGAGGATCAGAGGGAGAAGCAGGCTCCCCGCCGAGCAGGAAGCCCAATGTGGGACTCGATCCCGGGACTCCAGGATCATGACCCGAGCCGAAGGCAGTCGCTTAACCAACTGAGCCACCCAGGCGCCTGAATTGAGTTTGTCTTTAATTGTTGAGTTTGATAAGTTATTTATAGATTTTGGATGCTAACCCTTTATCAGATAAGTCATTTGCAAATATCTTCTCCCATTCCAAAGGTTGCCTTTTAGTTTTGCTGATTGTTTCTTTTGCTGTGCAGAAGTTTTTTTTTATCTTGATGAAGTCCCAGTAGTTCATTTTTGCTTTGTTTGCCTTATCTCAGGAGATATGTCTAGTAAGAAGTTGCTGATGTCAAAGAGGTCACTTGCCCATGTTCTCCTCCAGGATTTTGATGGTTTCCTGTCTCACATTTAGGTCTCTCATCCATTTTGAATTTATTTTTGTGTATGATGTAAGAAAGTGGTCCAGTTTCATTCTTTTGCATGTTGCTGTCCAGTTTTCCCAACACCA